AATCAGTTTTTTTCCCCATGTGTAACACTAATCTCCAAATTAAGAAACTACTTGATAGTGAAAAACTTTCTTTGCAGCAAAAGACAATCCTAATCAAACTATTTCCATTTTTGTTTTAATTAAAATATTTAAAGAAAATATGTTTTTATACAGCCCACTGAAGCTGTTTTAACACATTGGGTATTACAGGTTTCTGTCTTTATGCTTTTCTGTCATATTTCTGTATTTTTTTCCCTATTTTTATTTTAGCTATTTTGAAAATTAATCAACTTCGAAGGACTTATTAGAAAGAACCAGCTTGATTGAAAGACACGGGTATCTTTGATTTTCTTGAGCCTTTTGACAACCAGTATTAGCCACAAGGTGTGATCAATAAATAACCAATACTGTGAAACCAGCAACTGTAGGTTGATTTAGGACAACAGTATTTACAGTGGCAAATACAGTGTATATAGATTAGAGTTGCTAAATATGTCAGAATTAAGACTTATGTAGCCATAAGTTTATTTTAGAGGCTTTCCAATAAAGTACAGTATCCATTACCTATGTTTTAGTATCAATTTTTCACAATGACCAGATTTCATGGTTTAAAATTGTAATTGAATATGTACAAGAAACAATCAAGTGGTTTAAATTTAACTAAGGCATTAGCATTTAGTTTAGCATAGTAAAAATAGTATGATTTGTGGGAGGCAATTAACAATCATTTGCTCTGTGGATACAAGTAATTTGTTTAAAGAGCACTGACCTATGAGACAGCTAGTTTGTGTTGGCTGTGATGGAAGGGAGCTATTGACTCTAAACAGTGTAACAGTGCCATTGACAGAATTGCATTTGAATGCACACAAAAGATCTTTAAAATACTTCAGAAACATGAGATCTTTTCAGAGAGTGAAGAGGGGTGGGGGTTAAATGAGGGAAACTAGTCAAAAGAGAGGTTCAGATACAGAAGGAAAAATAGTCAAACTGAAAGACCCAGGAAAAAAATAGTGACTGAAAAATTTTTCCCCTTAATATTGTGCCAGCATTAAAGCACAATCTAACTTTTTTAACATAAATACTCTATCAGAAGAAACACAAACTGTGAGCGATTGCTAGTTGAGTAATGATTTCATAAGCCTGAAATTGAATGCAAGTCTTTGTGCAGAAATAATCATTTTTATGTTCACATCTAGTAAATGCATTGCAGACCTGGGAATGGTTCCATGTATTCAACATTCAAGATTTTTCTGTGTCCATTTTGGACATGTTTACTACTTAATGCCAATACCTTGTTTAGCAACTAGGTTCAGCCTACTGCAAATGATATGTTGACTCCTACTAATCTGGTAATTTCTTTAATTGAATAGCAGAAGTTACTGAAACAAGGGTGGATCACAAAAACTGTTGGGTGGAAGAGATCAACGTTAAAAATTCTAAATAAGATACAGTCATGGAATGCTGAAATGCTTTGCTTAAAGTTCTAATATAAATATAATTGGCTAGAGTTTATTTTATTTAGTAGGAAATTATGTAAAAATGTACACTTTAAGAAACAGCAGTACACTGGCACCAATACAGTGGCAACACATGCCTGTTTTCTTAAAGAAAATTAACTAAATAATTCTTCACAACTTTAGACAAGTGTATAAAAGTACAATTTTATCTGTGGCATAATTTCATTTAGAAGCATACAAATCACAATTTGCTTTAATCAAATAACATTCCGATGCTGATATTTTAATTACAAATAATTTCTGATATTTCATTTTAAGAACCTGGAAGACTTCAACTAGTACAATGTACAACCTGCACAAAACTGTTTGGTTTAACAGTGCAGAGAATTTTTCAGGTAAGAACTATTTTAATTATTATTAAACAAGCAAATGATACACTATTGGATAAATATTAAAACAAGTATTGCTCTCAGTTATTAATTTGCACTATTCAGTTTTAAATGCAGCAAATATCTCATTAATTTAATTTTAGGTGCCCACCAGTTTATATTGCATTTTACAGTCTAGAAGGCAATTTACTATTAACTGGCAATTACATACAGAATGATTGTTAATTCTGCTCCTAAGTGCTAGCTGCTTGAAAATTGTTATCTCTCTCTAATTTTTGACCTTCTTACAACAGGGGTGAGGTATACTGGGAATACAGAGGACTAGTAGAGAAGAGCTGGACATGTCATTTGTGACTCATTCTTTTAATTCACCGTGCTAATCAACTGAACTGCCACAATCTCCCAAGGTAATTGTATCTTTATAATACTTGAAAGCAGCGGGCAAAAAGGCATGGATAGATGGGGATAGGCCTTCCCTTAGCCTGCTGAGAAACAGCACAATATCCTTACTATGTGTGACTAATAGGGTCCGTTTTTGAAAAATCTGGAACTTTCATATCACTGTACACAGATCATTTAATGTCTCAAGATCTATACCTTCCAAAGGCTTTGTATACCACACTACACTCTTGTTTCATTATTCTGCAGCCTTGTTGCCCCATGGTCCACCTCATGCTGAGAAGGTTAAATGTTAGAGTGCCAAGCCAGACTGCAAGCATGGTGGGACACTGATGGGAAACAGATGCCCTGGGGATTCAGCCCCTCCTGACTATAGGACTACATAATTTTCATATTGTGAAATACAGTGAGGCTTGGCTCAGTTTTCAATGGTGAGCATAATTTCCAATGATTATCTCATTGTCCCTATCAATTTAGGGGCAATGCAAATCAGACATAAGTTTCCAGGTCAGACAGACTCTGACCCTCTTTTCTTTTACTTTCTGCTAGCCTATAAGCTTCTGTATCCCATAAAACTTTTTCAGATAGAAATATGTTACTATTTGTTTTTATTTTATCTCTTCAACAAATTAACTGCAGCAACAGAATATTTTTTTTAACTTTGATGATTCATTTGGACATATTGATTTAAAATTTCCCTATGAATACTGGGGAAGGAGAAATGCAAGAACAGAAAAAATAAACCCTCAAATGGATCTTACTTAGAACTTCTTATATTTTTGCATGTATATTTAAAAAATAAATTTAAACTGTGGAAGATTGCATAAAGTAACAATTTATAGAATTAATTAAAATCCTTTCATATAAAAAGTCTGAATTAAGAACAAACATATATGACCAAGTGCTCTTCTGGAGCAAACTGACATAGCTGTCATGCAGACAGTGAAACCAATTTAAAACAACTGCAGAATCAGAACTTTAACATTTGTAGTTTGAATAATTCAGTTGGCCCTGATACTCCCGGAGCAAGTATGATGGTCAGTGTTTGAAGACCACTGCACAATACCTTGTTGAAGTAGGCAGCTGAAGTAGACTTTTAATATTAATACTACACAGTCACTAATATAACAAATCTGTCTATAAGTCACATATATTTGATGGTGTTTTAGTACATCTCTACATGGGTTGATTTTTGTGTCTGTATGCATAATCATGACTGGATCAGTCAGTTGCTGATGGGCAACCAGTTTAAACCAGGCAGTTTTGTAGTTGCCATCTACTCAGCACTTATGAAAAATAAAGTCAGCACTGGAGAGTACTTGTCACTACAATTTGGACTACCACATTTGACACCCTCCTTGACTATCTTAGCACAAAGGCCAAGAACTGAACAGGAACGAATATTTAAATATCCTCTCACCCATGAAAATGCATCCTTGCAGGTCATAACTTAAGGAAATTGGTGGAGAAACTTGTAAAATTGTGCCTCTTTTATGGATAGATGGAAGACTTCGGTCTCCAAGGCTATCAATCCAGCACCTTTCATGAGCATTCTATTCATATTAAGAGCTCAGTCCTTAATTGCAGAAGTTAATGTCAAAAGTCCTATACAGTCTGCAATGTGAACAGACTTGAAGGTCAACTACTTTAATAGATCCAATACTCTGACCATACCTTTAAAAGTATGTTGTATACAATTTCTAGCTAGTTATTAATAGATAGATACCATTACAATCTATCAGGAAGATACTAATAAACAATATTTTCTTGGGGAAAAAAGTGTATTATCTACCCAGTCAACTTTAAGATCTGTCTCAGAGTCACTACAGTCTGTCAAATTATCAAGTAAATGGTTAAGAATTCTTTGATCTACTCTTTGGTTTAAAAACATTTTTTGACTCAACAGACAAAAGTATAGTACAAGCATGAGTTTATGCTGTAGTAAGAATAGATATTTTGGACCTACCGCATCCAATCATTATCCAAAAACAAAATGTACCATTACACTGCCATTAGAGAGCACATCGGCGTTTTTTTAGTGTGGTGTATTAGACTCTTTTTTTTAATCAAAGCCAAAAGAACAAAGTACACATTTTAGAGTAAAAACCCAGCAATATTTTGTTTGGAATAAATGGGGGAGGGGGGTTGAGTTCTGAAATATTTGAAGCCATAAAACTTCCATTGTTTCTCGTGCTCTCCAAACTTAAAAATCAAACACATTTACAAGAAATTTGGTTGTGACCTTATATCCCAATTTTTAGCTCTGAAATAATTTTTACAGACAAATTATTAAGAAAGGTAGAAACTGGATACCAAAAAAAATTACCTGAAACAGTACCCAAACTTCACCAAACCTTTAGCAAGATTCAAGAAGTTTGGATATCTTTTTAAAAAAAACTACATTTTTCACTGTAGAATACTATTTCACTTCCTCTTTCAGGCAGGACTAGAAAGGAACATGCCATTTTTATATATATTTCTGGCTCCACTGGAAACAGGAAGTATCAAGCATCTTGTGAGAGCACCTGATCTCATGAGATTTTGAAACCACTTTTAAAGACTCAAGAGGTTTGGATAAGCATCTGAGCTTCTGTGTGCCTCTCTGAACTGAGCCTTTGAGCTATTTTGAGTTTCACCTATTACTAGTTAACCACTCTCTAAATGCTGACAGATCCATGCATTTACCACTATTACATTCACAGAAACTTTGAACGATCTGTATCACTGAGAGGTGCGAGATATCACTCTGAAGTAACAAAAGGAATCTTATACTTAC